GCCAGGCAGGCGACCTTCGGGTCGTTTTCATATAAGCCCAGCACTGATTTCGGCAGTCAGCGTCTTAGGATGGACTGTAAGCCCGGCAGTTGATTCCGGCAAATTGTGCGATCCATGTGTTAATCTTTCATTTCCTCCATAGATCACTGCAGTCAGCCCACAAGGTAAGAAACTCATTACATCTCAGTATATTATACTTAACTTCTTTTGGGGGTTTAATCGGAGCGGTTCTTCCCCCTCCTGAATGATTATCCTGCAAACTGGGGCCTAATCGCCAAACACCATTCAATTCTCCTCTTATAATTGTGGCAATCATTATCACATTCATATTATGTGTCCCGGTAATAAATATGTATTTCATACATCAACGTCTCTCCTGATTGAAATGAAGCTCAGCGCAAGTTCAATCAGGAAGACCAAGCTCTTCATTCATATTACACGTCACTTCATTACACTCTCCTCCCTCATTAAGTGATCGGGGGCGTCACTCCCCAGCTAACCAATCTCAACTCTCTATTCTCACAAGCCTATCATAGCACCCGCTAATCCCTTTATATCTGCTCTTCCCTCTTGTCAACTGTCATTTCAGGTGACAAAACGCAACCCTCCTCCACCCCTTTCGCCTCCCGTCTCCTACAGGACCAAGCTAAACCTTCTCCCTTCAGTCCGTTCCCACCTACTTATCACCACCACCAGTGTCTAGACCCCGGGGGGTTTCATCGGAGCGGTTCTTCCCCCTCCTGAATAATTATCCTGCAAACTGGGGCCTAATCGCCAAACACCATTCCATTCTCCTGTTATAATTGTGGCAATCATTATTACATTCATATTATGTGTCCCGGTAATAAATATGTATTTCATACATCAACGTCTCTCCTGATTGAACTAAGGCAAAGTGGGGCTTTCAGTTTATTGCTAACATTAAGAAAAGTTCCCAATCACATGCTGTTGTTCAGCAGGCATCATGGTAACCAAGTTCACCAACTGACTTTAGTAGAGCTGAAGAGGGAATGAGGAAATGTTGTTTTGGGCACCAGATAAAAAGTTAGAGGACAGGCAGAGCTATTACAACTCATCTGCGAGGATCCATTCAACAGCAATTCATTCAAGAGCCCTATCCCGTTCCAACACACTCACTCCCTAAGCGTCCAGGAGCGACGCTTGGTCAGGGTCCCGTGGCGTCCAGTTGGGACGCGCCGAGGCTCCTTCAGCTTCATAAACGGACGCAAAGAGCTTTCAACTGATTGCAATGTATTCCCATCGGCGTCGGTATTTGATGCTTAGGGAAGCACAGCATTCGTTTGTGTCGGAGGCTGTTAAAGGCAATGTGAGCGTCCATTCCCATTGGATAACGGAGAATTGTACACCCGGAAGTAAGTCTATGGTTGCTACAGAGGATTGTGGGTAATGTCATGTCTTCGGCCATCCAAAACTCATAGAAAACGACTTGTTTCTCAGAATTGAAGGGGAAAACGTGACAAAAGCATTGTACACACACTAAAACCTATCAATGTCGTTTAATTAACAAGGATAATCTGGTGTTTTTGAAGAGAAAAGCAAGCACACTCGGAATAATGTATTATTTAATTTTTTTATACAGTCTATGGTTGCTACAGAGGATTGTGGGTAATGTCATGTCTTCGGCCATCCAAAACTCATAGAAAACAACTTGTTTCTCAGAATTGAAGGGGAAAACGTGACAAAAGCATTGTACACTAAAACCTATCAATGTTGTTTAATTAACAAGGATACAGTAATCTGGTGTTTTTGAGTTCATAAGTAGTGGAGATATCACTGTCAAATCAATCGACAGTAAGGGGAATACTTACTTCCGGGTGTACAATTCTCCGTTATCCAATGGGAATGGACGCTCACATTGCCTTTAACAGCCTCCGACACAAACGAATGCCGTGCTTCCCTAAGCATCAAATACCGACGCCGATGGGAATACATTGCAATCAGTTGAAAGCTCTTTGCGTCCGTTTATGAAGCTGAAGGAGCCTCGGCGCGTCACAACTGGACGCCACGGGACCCTGACCAAGCGTCGCTCCTGGACGCTTAGGGAGTGAGAGTGTGTTGCCCGTTCGGGTTCATATTCGTATTTAGTGTCTCTACTGTGACATGTCTCCATGCTTTAATGTCGGTTCTGTTGATTGGTCAACCGCTTAGAGATGTCCCGCTGATGATGGCCTCTGGGGACCATGAATGTAAAGTGGTTTATCTGTTCCTCCTCAGCATCCATACAGAAAACCTTTCTATATTTTAGAAGAGTCACATGTTTATGGAGGAGCCAGACCCGTGTGTGTACATGTATACAGTCACGTGTGTGCAGTTATATATATAGTTATGTAAGAATCCAATAGAAAATGGAAGAAGAGAATGTAAGTGTTATATGTTGCACATATTGAAAAGCTCCCTGAAGCTCATTTGTAATAAAGGATTATGGTCTATAAAAATAACATTTTAGAACCTGTTAGAAGCGGACACAGGTTCAATAGAACATTCAGCCATTGTATAATTTCTGTGTTGGGGTTTCTCTGTACACAGCAGTGGTGGAATGTAACTGAGTACATTTACCCAAGTAATCTACTTCCTTATAATTTGTACTTTACTTGGTAACCATGCGCAGGAAGTCTTCTTCGCTGCTTTTGTGGCAGACTACAGCGCCACTTACAGGCCTGGCATATGTACTACAGCGTCTCCAGCGCTTTCGAGCGGCAATGGCCGGCCGTGGCCCAACCCCACATTCCCCTGATAGGTGGAGAGTTGGCCCAATAGCCGTAGCGCCACCGTCCTGACGTCAGTAACGTGTTCAAATCTGGATCAGTTTTTATCAGATCCGTTGCAGCCCCTTTTTTAGAGATTTGGGTATGGAGGAAAATAGAGAGGGTTGTGTTTTCTGACACCCGGCTGGAACACCGGGGACACATATTCATGTATACAAGACGTACAAAAGTTCATTTTGCATGATAGGTCCCCTTTAAGTATCCTTTTCGACTCAGGACTTTTGCTTGTAATGGAGTCAACCCGGTATCACGGCAAGACGTGAACATGTGACGATCTACCATGCTGGGAGACGTGAATATGTCACGGTTTCGTCCCTTCAAACGTGACAGTTACACGGTATTGTTAACATGGCCCAACCAGTGGAGAAATACCCGGAAGTGCCAAGCAAATGGTCTACCGCGCCTATTGGTCGGTTTTTATTGTCAAAATTAGATGTTTTTAATTTATTTTTTAATCGTCACACTCGATTTCGCCGATTTTCTTGTTGCCCTAGCTGGTCGACACCTCTTTTAGCAGAAACAAAGGCTACATTAATGTATTAAATCGATGTTAATCCATGTGTGTGGAGGTGTGGATGTGGAATTAACGGACGTGACATTGTGCGATTCCTGGCAACGCAATTTACAAACTCTTCAACTACAACCCTAATTATATTTAAAAACATTTTAGAAGGCCTCACGAAATACTTGAATGTAAATTAAAATGTAAATGTTAAGGGATGTGTGTAATGTGGTGATTGACATTATTCACCCACGGATCTATGGGTTGGGGGTATTGTTCCGCACGGACATTTTAGTTAACCGGACTCCTGTTGATGTGAAATCCGAAAACATTTAAAAAAAAAAATAATAATACTTTATTCCGAGTTTGCTTGCTTTTCTCTTTGGAGGTCATCACATAACGGCATTGTAATACACGGTTCGGCTGCATTAAATATGACATATCTGCCGTAGTTCTGTATTTATAGAGCCCTGATGAGAAGACTTCTGGACAAACAGGAAGCACTGCCGCCAAAACTGAAAACGTGACGTGGATCATAAATATATCAGCAATTAAACAACATCTTACATTTCTTTTCACACAATACGTCTCCTTGCAGTATCAATACTAATTCGGCTGACTTTTATATTTGATCCAATTGGTAGATAGGCTGTATTTACACCATAACGGTGCACAGCTGATAGAAAGGCACATCTAGTGGTTAAAGCACGTTATTGCATTTTATTATTTTATTATTTTTCACAAAAATGAAACCATCAATAGCAAAAACAGAATTAACTGTCATTAGTAAACCACTCAAATAAAAAGATCATAAGTGGTTTTGTTTTACATATATTTTAAGGATAATAATAGCAATGTAACACTGTCTATGACACTTACTGTATAACACTGATTTGAAAAACATACAGAAAAAACTAATTCACTGCCCTTAATAAAGTAAACTCGGAATAAAGTATTATTTTATTTTTTTTAAATGTTTTCGGATTTCACATCAACAGGAGTCCGGTTAACTAAAATGTCCGTGCGGAACAATACCCCCAACCCATAGATCCGTGGGTGAATAATGTCAATCACCACATTACACACATCCCTTCACATTTACATTTTAATTTACATTAAAGTATTTCGTGAGGCCTTCTAAAATGTTTTTAAATATAATTAGGGTTGTAGTTGAAGAGTTTGAAGAGTTTGTAATTGTGGCAATTGCGTTGCCTGGCAACGCAATTGCCACAATTCCACATCCATATCTCCACACACATGGATTAACATCGATTTAATACATTAATGTAGCCTTTGTTTCTGCTAAAAGAGGTGTCGACCAGCTAGGGCAACAAGAAAATCGGCGAAATCGAGTGTGACGATTAAAAAATAAATTAAAAACATCTAATTTTGTCAATAAAAACCGACCAATAGGCGCGGTAGACCATTTGCTTGGCACTTCCGGGTATTTCTCCACTGGTTGGGCCATGTTAACAATACCGTGTAACTGTCACATTTGAAGGGACGAGACCGTGACATATTCACGTCTCCCAGCATGGTAGATCGTCACATGTTCACGTCTTGCCGTGATACCGGGTTGAATGGAGTATGTCTAGACTGTGGTATTAGTACGTTTACTTAAGTAAAGGATCTGAGTACTTTTTCCACCACTGGTACCAGTACACTCCTCTATGGGTCTGTGTGTTTTGTGTGTAAAATACTTACTTTCAGAGTCATGTCAACATGTTTTTATCAAGTAAAATAAACAAACAAATATAACAAATAACGATAGAGAGCATGCCGAAAGTCGTTTTCTATCACAAGCAAAGAATACAGAACATTATCAAAAAACGTCTATAAAACATGGATAGTCAAATATATATTTCCTTCACCTAACTGTGGGAGCAAAGAAGCCAGCATGCACTGCAGGAGGTTACATTACACACAAAGCGTTACACAAATTATATAAATACACAAGAACAAGGTATATGCGTTGCCTGTATAAAATATAAATATTAAGCTTATTTCATATGGTTTATATAAAAGATTACACCATCAAGGGACCATCCAATTTGTTGCATCTAAGCTTTTGCTGCCACGGTGATGAAATTGTTAACACAGGTTTGACATCACAAGTACTTTTACTTCATTACACGGTGGAATGAGATTTCAAAGCTGCTTCCAGCTCAGTTTGTGGGTAGACAGACAAATCTTCCATCATTTGGTCTCAACAACATCCAGGCATTAGCCTGGTCCTGCCCTGCAGCTTCAATGGTCCAGATCGGTGCTCTCAGTGCTGCCGGCTCGATTGTGGCGCTTGCAGAACTCCCTGATCCGACTGCAGGCCTCCACCATCATCTCCTCTGGCACTGTCACCACGATGCGGAAGTAGTTGGGGTACTCAAAGGCCTGGGTGAGGACACAACGCGGTTACTTTCAGGCATGAAAAGGATCACAAACGGGTTTTAATTTTATTCTAAATGCAAGTGTTTCGACATATTGACAGAAAAAGGTGTCTTACTGAAGCAGGCAGACAGAAGACCGACTGCTCGGTCACCAGACGCTCGGTGAAGTCCACATCGTTCTTAAAGTCTGGAAACCGATCCATGTCAATCCCCACCTAGACACACATTATAAGAACCGCAAATTCATATTCAAACCTCTACAAATATGTCGTAAATTACTATAGAATGATGATTCACGTGCATTTTTTACTGTTAAACTTTTCTAAAATCCTACTTTTAAACACCTGCATCAAATACATATAAGGTAAAAATGATGTATCAACAACCCTGAAATGACATGCTTAAAATAACTCAATTGAGTAAATGTTCCTACTGACCATGAGGTACATTGCTCCTGAAGGCATGACGGGGTTCAGGCCAGGTACGGTGCTCAGCTCATTGAAACAAATCTCAGAGTTGGTCTGAGGGTGAAAAACATTCATATAAGAAAAACATAAAAACATTGAACTTATGTTTAAAGGACGATTTAATCGCGGGAGAACATTTTCTATACATTTTTTTTAAATGTATAAAGTGCTTCTAATTATATGCTGCACAGTATGAAAATGGTACTCAAAATGTAAAGTTCATGCAAGTTCATCAAGTATGCATGGCAAGGTGGAGTAGTTGGGCTTTTTACAAATAGCAGTATTCAGGTGAGGGTCAGCTCAGCTGCCAAACATGTGTGTGCAGGAAATCATACAGTGTTTATGTAATATTACGCACCTTCAGAAAGCTGATGGTTTTGCTGTAGAAGCTTGGAGGTGTGTTGTTGAGAATGCTGTCCAGGGCCCCCTGGATTATACTGCAGGCCCCCAGAATCCGCTGACTGAGTTTCACCAGACCCTGTCGAATCTGCAGAGGAAGCATACTGCATGTCAGTCAGGAACATGTGACAGTACACTGGTGGAGTGTTTATACAGTATTCCAAAAGGAGAAACTGTAAAAACAAAACGACGTACCTTGGATCCAAATACATCATTCCTGTCATGGATGAGGATCCATCCCATCCTCCAGCCTGGGACCAGCCAGCGCTTAGCCAGACCCCCGCAGGAGAGGATGGGAACGTCACTGCTGAGAGACGCCATGGAAGAACAGCTGCAACCTGGGAAAACCTGTGGACACAAGAATGAGCAAAATAAAATATGTTTAGGTGACAGAATCATCCGCGGCCACGGGTCAGCATCATGCACAGTGATAGTGCACGTGATGGTGATGAAGTTTTCATGCTGCTTTCCAATAATATTCATTTTTTTAATGGATGCTGTCATTTTGACATGTAGATTTAATAATGGCGTGCAAGGCATTCAAGTCATTAAATAAAATAAATGAAATACAATTATACATTTTTGTTAAAGGAATTTTTCAAATGTTTCTAGTTTCTCATGTTCAAAAGGTTTATTGTGTTCCTTGTAAAGAAAACATGTTGTTCTTGCATTTGTTCAAAATGTGTATAAATGTAACAGTACATTCACGATGTGTATTTATGTATAGATGTCGCAATTGTCCAAAGCTTTGGCAATACTGTAAGTCATTATGGTCATGCTAATAAAGCTATTTAAATTGAATTAAAATAAAAACAAGCTGTTAACAGGATATCTTCAAGTGGATATGGCTAACATGTTAGCGTGCTTATTTACCGCTTAGAGAATGTAAAACCACTGTCTTTGTGACAGATGAGGGAGAAACCAACAACAGAAGAAGAGGAAAGGAGGGGGGGGGTGAAGTAGCCGCAGAGAGAAAGCTGGTTCTCATTAAAATGAGCTGGATCTGAGACGCTGAGCGGGGAGCTGCCCCGCGTCCTATTGGCCAGACGGCTGGGAATGACTTAACAGAAATGAACATCTGAAATGTGCCTGCTGAGCACGGCCAACTTAAAGCACTTTTTGGGCTCCGTCTCTCTGAACTGGATAAACTCGCGCCCCCGCCCCCTGCCTCTGGTATAAAGTATTACTTAAGTATGTGTAGGATAACATAACATATTATGATCAGTGCAGAAGATGTTCAGGGGGATTCACTTGCAGTCCAAATACATCGGCACTGGCTGACACGATTGAAAGAGTGAAACATTTAAGTTAAAAACATTAATCAAAGTCAACTTTATTATTAATATCTCTGTGTGTGTGGTACAAACAGGGAGGCCCAAGTGCTGTTTCCCACAGTCCCAAACATTCAAATATATAACAAATACATACATATACCGTATGTATAAATGCACACATACACAAAATAAATGTAAAAAATTATAAAAAAGGCACAACAGTAAATATTCAAAAATAGCAGTCTGGTAGATTAAACGGTGAATATATGAGAATTAATGAATATATGACAACAGTACAAAATATATGCAAGTAGTGCAATAGGTGTCCATGGCAGCTAGCAAAATAAAAAGTACTAGATACTAGAGCGAATGTGAGAAAATGTATTCACTGCTGAGGGTCTTTTGGAGGAGGGGGACAGGCAGTGTCAGACAGCCCGGCCCCCTCCCCTCCTAACATCCAGGTACTAAAGTGAAGGCCTCCCCACCACACCCCCAGTTCAGCCCCCCACCCCCCACACGCCCCCATTCCTCCACCATTCCTGTTGCACCAAAACACAACATCTGCATTAACTGCAAACACATGCAGCCAGAAAAGTGCCGAGTCATTCTGGTCGGCTTGCTTTTTCTCAATGTGACATGGTCAGATGGGGGGGATGGGGGGGGGGGGACGACCCAACAACCCCAACAGCCCCAACAACACCAACAACCCCAACTTGAAACTTTTCCACTTGCAAGAGTAAAGGCTTTCAGCATCCATTTATCTGTGTGCAACCGAATGACAGGCGCATGATCTTTGTAGCTTTGTAAGAATGTTTCTCCTCTGGTATTCTACTCTTCTCTCTCCAGTACTCCTTTGACTTTTCTATTGACCTCCCACCTCTAGCAACACCTAACCTCTAAGTGTTTTTCTCCATTAGCCTCACTTTGTTGATTAAACAGACCAAATCTATGTTTGTCCATTTTAATGTCGAGCTCCTAATTATCAACAGAACAAGCCTATCATTAACCACTCACACAGATCTGCTCTTAAATGGAAGAATTAACAAATAACTACATAAATGAATGGCAGTTTTGTTTTTCATTTTACTCAACCAATCAACAATCCAACAGGTTGGTTTTAACCTGGGGACATGTGTGATAAAATCACTTGGTAAACTTTAGCTTTAAAATTCTGAAGTAAATGATGACTGCTGAATATGCAACTTCAATTGAGGTTTGTTCCAAATACGGTTCAAATGAGTGGAACAGGACTAAATCCAGATGTTAGAGCCTAATATCAGAGGTAACAGAGAAGTAAACATGATTTTTAAGCCTGGAACATTACGCAACAATGTTCTGATTTTGTGTGAGTGCATTATCATGACTGAGCACTATCGAAGCAGAGGTGGCTAGTAGAAACTGTAGCAGCATGCATCCATCACTACTCAATCAAAATCATTTCCACTGTTATCGTATCTGCAGCAGTATTCAGCCGCCTGCCCACGTGTGTGTTTACATGTTTGCATGACCTTTGACTAAAGTTCAGCCAGTACAGATTTATCAAGGCCGACACTGATGCCAACTCTTTGGACTGCCAATGTTCTTTTCTGATGGTCAACATTTATATGTGGAAATGTTCCTCTTTAAAGGGATAGAACAACAACTGTCTCTTTAGTTTCTGCTGCTTACTCAAAGACCAGGTGTGTGTCTTATGGCGCATTTCCACTACACGGTCGGCCTCGGCCACACTCGGTACGGCTCGGTACGGCTTGGCCGCGTTGGGCCTTAACAGGGCCGACTCACTTCATGCTGCGCTTCCATTACAGTTTAGGAACTGGGGTAGTTACTATAGTAACGCAGTGTAGGCGGAGCCGTGACGTCATCTTCAATGAGAAATCCAGAAACACAACACAGCCGTTAGCTGTTAGCACTCAGAGCTCACAGCTCCTCATATGTTCAGAAACTAGACAAAAGTTAAACAAGTACAAACCACAGACTGCCTGTGTCATGGTGAATACAGTCGCTGCTTTATTTATGTCTGTATAGGCCGTTGTTGTGAGTGTGGACGGTCAGAGCATATACTGCGTTAGCTTAGCCAATCTCCATTCAGAACACACGAATTTTAAAAGGTTTTTCGCCTGCCGTCTGTCTGCAGACTTGTCAAAGCATTAATTCATGGTTTTTACTAACCGGTATCAGTATGTTGTTACTTCGGCATCATTTTGAAACGTGTATTACAATTAAATCACGGTCAAATATGTCCATCTTGTTGTAGTTCTAGCCCTCTTGCCAGCGCTCCTCTCTCTAGTTTAGCATACTCAGCCCGACTCAGCCCTGTTTGTTGGCCCCGATAGAACCACAATTTTCTAGGGCCAGAAAAGAGGTGAAAAAGTGGCCCCGCGCCGTGCCGCGCCGGTAATTGGCCTAGTGGAAGCACAACCAAAAAAGGGGACGGCACGACACGGCACGCTTAAAGCGAGCTCCGCGCTGCAGTGGAACTGCGCCATAAGTAAACTAATTGTGAGGACTGAAATAATGATCAAATATAGTTTTATAGCAACTCAATTCAAATTCATGTTATTCCATTGAGTTTCCATTTGATTGGTATTCAGGATTCAGTTTTCATTGACATTTTAAAATAAACTCCACTTTATATCTCTGTGTAGGAGAGATATAAAGCACTTTGAAGCCTGAGTGTAAAATGCTGTGACCCCGGCCCACCCCACTGCCTGCTTGCACCTGTTGACCCCCATGCCCCCCGCCCATCCCTTACTGGTTGCTGATTCACAGCACATGGCCCCTAATCCCCCAAGTGCTGATCCACCCACCCCCCAGAGCCAGGGCAAATACCACCAAATGCAGCACAACCTCTGCTGTCACTGTGCTGAAAAATGTGCCTCGCTGGTGTTCCAGAGGGCCAAACCCTGACACTCACCATATCACTGTAGATTTCATCAGCCAGGATGGGGAGGCAGTGTCTGGAGGCCACTGTGAAAACAAGAAGCATTTCATTCATGGGCTTCACGTCGTCCAGATTGTACATGTACACTCTTGTGTACAATTCTTTGTGCATGCTATTTTCAGAATATGTTTCACAAATGATCCTAATGCAAAGTAGTGGGGACAAAATTGGCCATTTCCATAAGTGGCGGGGACATGACACAGTGTCCTCAGTACAAATGACGCCTATGCTTTCATTGTTTCTGTAAGACGAGGCAAATGCTGTATGTATATGATAGTACATGTTCAACTCCTCGGATGCTTATTCAACGTTTTTAAAGGGCTCTTCATTATTTAAATACTGAAGCAGAGTGGACGGGCACGTACCTTTGATGATTTTCTGGAGGTGTTCCTTGCTGAAGACAGAGCCACACGGGTTGGATGGATTGGTGACGATCATACAGGAAGTCCTCTCGTCGATCAGGCTCTCCATCTGTAGAAGGTCCACCTCCCATGACTTCTCCGGCTGTCAATCAAACATGTGTGTTGTCATGGGCACAGAAACGTTATTCTTCATGAAAATAACACCTTCAGGTCCTTGAACCTTTGGGTGCTCATTCAGTGTAACCAACGTTTGACCAAAATGATTCATATGTGACGTGCACCAACATAAAACATTTACAATTCCCATTCCACAATTTTCTTATTTCTTTACGAAATGTCCAAAACGGTTTCTCTCCATGTCTTTATATAACAGTAGGACGCTCACATCCTCCTCCCATCAGCGGCCTTACCACACTGTGTGTGAACTTCTCAAAACAGCTGCTTTGAATGGTTTACAATCATTTTATAAGAAATGGCATGACGTGAAGAGAAAATAAACTTGTGACGATTACTAAGAGAACATTTGATCTAGTGATGTATAAGTACACCAGGTGGATAAATACCTATAGACTATGAGTCTTTATTCTTCATCAAAAGCACTGTAAGACATGAATACTCCTATTTTGTAACAAGAAGTGTCTGTGTTAAAGAAGATAGATCTTATAGTTAGGGCTGGTCCAGGCTGGCATTGAACCAGACCCTTGTTTAGCTGCCAAAGACTTAGACTTTCGGGTGACTTTCACTTTGTACCTTTCAATGCTAACCCTTCCTCTCCTATTTCTCTCTCTCTCTATTTGTATGAACTTATGTCCTGTGTGTTTGTCTTTCACCTACTTGTTGCTAGCACCTGGAAGCCTTTGGAAATCCTCCTGGATCTTTTTATATATGTTCACATTATAATTTTTTTCATATGGATTGTCTTTTCTGTAATTGTACTATTTGTTTGAATCCATACACACGACACATATCTGTGCACACGTCTGTCTGTCCTTACAGAGGGATCCTCCTCTGTTGGTTCCTTCCATTTCTCCTGTTCACTGTGGGGTTTCAGTGGGGGACTACTTTATTGTACGTTGTGGGTCTAAGGAAAAAGGGTGTCGAATGCTGTTGACACCGTGAAGTCCCCTGAGACAAATGTCTTATTTTTGATGTTTGAAAACTTGTAATGATTGATGAATTGATTAAATAAACATTGGTGTTTATTTAACCTCCTATATACTCACCAGCAGGTTGTAGAGTTTGACATCTATGCCCATGGAGACAGCCAGAGTCTTATATAAGGAGAAGCCCGGGCATGGGACCAGGATGTTGTCCCCCGGGTTACACAGGACACTGATAGCCAGGTCGATGGCCTGACTGCAGCCGCTGGTCAGAATCACATCCTGGAGGAGAGGGGGAGGGTGGGGGGTTTACTTTCAAGAGCTTGGACACCAAAATCAAAGATCAATGCTTAACAACACTACCGTTTCTATTCTTTGACCATGATGGAGTCACAGTTACTAGTAGCAGTGGTGTAAAGTAACTACATTCCACCAAGTACTGGTCTTAAGTACACATTTGACGTAATTGTACTTTACCTGAGTGTTTTCATTGTATGCTGCTTTATATTTCTACTCTACTACATTTTGGAAGCCAATTTTGTACTTTTCACTCCACTACATTTTCTTTACAGATTTGACACAAAATACTTAGGAATAACTTTTAAAATACGATTATTTGGTATAGATTAAACCATCTAACATTATATTTGAGTAACTAAAACCATGAGTGGGTTAACAGGAAATTCATAGGAATTTAAAACATTTTTGTTCAAAACTATTTAACAGTTCCAGCTTCTTAAATGTGAAGATTTGCTGCTTTTGATTTTTTTATATTTTAAAATACTTAAATACTAATTATTTTCTTTTTCTTTTTACTTTTAATTCTAATACTTTAATTACATGGTCCTATTCATACTCAAATACTTTTACTTAAGTACCATTCTCCACGCAGAACTTTTACTTGAAATGTAGTGTGTGGTATTAGTATTTTTACTTTAGTACAGATTCTGAATACTATTTCCACCACTGACTAGTAGATTCCAAGACATGCACTCTTGTTGACGGACTACAGGTCTATTTATGATTGAATCTGATTGAATAAGCACCTCGGCCTCCAGCGGAGCCTCGGGGCAGCTGTAGAAGTTGGCCACCGCCTGTCGGCTCTTCAGATAACCTGCAGGTGGACAGAGCAAATAATGTACTGCAAACAGAGATTCAGTGGGTCCTCATCACTCCTGAGATTTACATCAGGCCATTTCTGGTTACCTAATTTCACAACACAAGTCATAGTGTGACAACATGTGGGTTACCCTAATGTAGCTGTAACACAACCAAACGTCTCACCTGATTTTACAGCCAACCTGAAATGACATTTCTAATCTTTGTGCATTCAAAGGTGTTTCCTACTGTGACTCACCAACAGAAGGGGCATAGCCGTTGTACTTTTGGGAGTCTATGGCGTCTTTCATGGCCTGCAGCACTGCCCCGTCTGTAGGCAGGTTTCCAAACACAGTGGGATCCCCTGGGAACGGATGTGACAATAAGCAATCAATTAATATCAAGAGAACCCAAGAGTCTTGCATTGAACAAATGTCATAAATCAGTAAACTTAGTCCTGGAAAGACAGGAAAAACATGTCTAAAAAACCATGTAACTCCAAAAGATAAAAAGACAAGATCTGTATTTACAATCAACCAAGCTGGTACTCCTAAAAACTAATTGGAAATCTAAGGGGGTAGTTATTATTTGTTGATTATAGTCACACATTATGAGATTCACCCGAAAAGAGTTTCACTGCATGTTGGCTTATTGATAAATACAATTAAGTACACATTGAAAACTGGCATTGCTTCAAGCTACACAGTGACATCTCTGGATTGTTTGAATCATGCAGAAGCCCTCTCACCTATGGAGAGTGCGATCATGGGTTTCTCGGGGTTGGGGGTGAGCTTCATCCCGTCCACGATGGCTCTGATGGGGTTCAGCGTGTTGTTGGCCATCTCCGAGGGCCTCACGTCCCACCTCTGCCTGCGACTCTTGGCCTTGCTGGGATACAGAGCACCCCTCACACTGACGTGGTGGAGGTCCTTCCCATTCACTCCGTTCCCACTCAGGCTCTTACCATTCTCAATGCTCTTGTTGTGGACTCCATTGCCATTCATCTGAACCAAGTAAGACTTGTTCTCCATCCTGGAACTGATGGTGGTGAAGAAAATGGACGTTTACTCAAAAGATACCTAGACTTTTAAGTGTTCCACGTTGTGCTACTTTAAACTTCCCAACTACAGTTCAGAAGGAAACAATGTACCTTAGGCTGCACTTCCTGTATCTGTCAGTTATTACACATTAACATTTAACATACATGTGATCATATTGTAAAATATAATAAATATTTATAAATTAAATGTAAAACTAGCTCCCTTTCAAACAGCTGCAACTTCAACATGCTTGAATCACTTATAAACACCAAAAAAAAGCATATTCCAAAAATATATATATAACCCTCTGCATAATGAGTAGGCTATTATACTGTTAATACTAATGGCTAATTGTGTTGCTAATACTTCTGTACCTTTATTGAAGTTGGTAAGTTGAGGGGGAATGTTACGTGTATTATGGGAATGCATGCTTCTTCAAACATTTGTATTTGGTTATGCTGATGTCAAATTGCAAAAGTGTTATTAAAAGTTGCATCATGCATTCAAAAAATATATTAAAACAAAGTTGTGCTAATTATCACATCTGATCCTGCATATTCAAAGATTATTATCAGATCGAAATCTCAGGCAGAATATTTTTCTAAATTCCGGCTAGACCGTCAACATTTTAGTATTTTTTAAGTCATGTTTATAAAGCCCAAGGAGAGCAAATTGAACGGAATCGCTCAAGTCTTTAATAAATGATGAATTGTTGTGCAAAACCAATTCAATCTGTAACATCTATTTACATCAACATTCTCAAACAGCGTGCATTTAACTTTTATGCATCTCCATCCCTAGAATATCTGTGTACTGTAAGACCATACATTGAAAATTAATATTTGTACTTACGTCATAAAATGTTCTACAAAAAGTATCTCCAGATCAGCAGCAGCGCGCAGGTTAATAACTGTTAAACAGGATGAAGCCGATAGGATGATTTACGCCGGTTATATAGAAGATCCCCGAAAATGGGTGTTGAGCCCAGCCCATAATTCCATTGGTGGAGACTGAGGGCTGTACCATTACACCCCCTTTACATCACTAATAGGAACCATACCATCTGCAAACTTGAACTGCACCATTACCGTCCAGAGGGCCGGGGGGGGGGGTCTCACACAGATAGGGCACCTGCAGTGCGTCTGTGCTGTGCGTCATATGCAGGGGTGCTATTTGTTTGTGTATAAAAACCGGAACGTACCCATGACGCGCGCATGCGTGAATGCGCCCAGTTGTAGCTCGTTTTGAAGGTTATGAAACAGCTGTCAATTAACTCTGCAGCCAGATCCGCAAAGCATTATAGTTAAGTCTGACAGTATCCGCTGCACTTAGATCATAAATAAAAGTAGAAGTACCAGAGTGTAGGAATACTCTGTTACAACTAAAAGTCCTGTTGCTAATGTTACTCAAGTAAAAGTATACGCATCAACATAGAGTTAAAGTAGCGACAGTAAAAGTAGTCATTGTGCAGATTGGTCCATTTCAGAATAATATATATGATATGTTTTATAATGATTGATCATTAAAGTGTTCTCAAAGCTGGTAAAGGTGCAGCTAGTTTGAATGACTTTGTATTCTGCAGGGTAGCTTGTGAATTTACTCCAGGTGGAACTAAAGTCTGATTTAACACTTGATTATATTTCACATCATTCATCCACATCTGTGAAGTAACTAAAGGTATTAAATACATGTAGTGGAGTAAAAGTACACTAAGTAGCCTACCTCTGAATTGTAGTGCAGTAGAAGTACAACGTAGTATACAATATAAATATTTAAAGGGGACCTATCATGCAAAATGCACTTTTGTACGTCTTTTATACATGAATATGTGTCCCCGGTGTTCCAGGGAACTCACCAAGTGTCAGAAAACACAACCCTCTCTATTTTCCTCCATACCCAAATCTCTAAAAAAGGGGCTGCAACGGATCTGATCAAAACTGATCCAGATTTGAACACTTCTATGTCGTCACAGAAGTGGCGCTACGGCTATTGGGCCAACTCTCCACCTATCAGGGGAATGTGGGGTTGGGCCACGGCCGGCCATTACCGCTCGAAAGCGCTGGAGACGCTGTAGTACATATGCCAGGCCTGTAAGTGGCGCTGTAGTCTGCCACAAAAGCAGCGCAGAAGACTTCCCGCCCATAGTTACCATGGTTACCCTTCTGTTTATTCTCCGCTGTGGCTTTTTTTCTCCCTCCCCGAGGCAAGCGTTTGCTCCCGCTGCTTTAATTCAATGCAATCCCTCCCCGTCGAGGCAAGCACTGTAATTCTCTCCGGTTAGTCCACCAGCAGATGACAAACACCCACCTCTCCGCCTCTTCCAAGGAACGAGGGGACCGTGCGGCAGAGTTTCAGTTTCAGTTACTTTCGCCGGTCAAGATGTCCGTTAAAGTTTCAATCTTCCGGACAAAATTAGAAAAGTGCCGGTCAAAGGTCTTTCTGTTTATTCTCCGCTCTGGCTTTTTTTCTCCCTCCCCGAGGCAAGCGTTTGCTCCCGCTGCAAACGCTTGCAGAGAGGGATTGCTCAATGCAATCCCTCCCCGTCGAGGCAAGCACTGTAATTCTCTCCGGTTAGTCCACCAGCAGATGACAAACACCCACCTCTCCGCCTCTTCCAAGGAACGAGGGGACCGTGCGGCAGAGTTTCAGTTTCAGTTACTTTCGCAGGTCAAGATGTCCGTTAAAGTTTAAATCTTCCGGACAAAATTAGAAAAGTGCCGGTCAAAGGTCTTCTTTGTTATTTAAAACAAATGAATAACGACTCTCTATAATAAAACACGGAGATCTCTTTTTCTCCCCCTCTTCTGACAGCCCAGCAGCTGATCAGAGCACGTCTCCCCTCTCCTGCAGGGGGGCGTGGTCAGCAGAATCAGACCCGTAGACAGCAAACAGCACATAGAGCGAAATGAGGCATGGCTAAAATGCATGATCTGTTTGGTATTTTGAAAACAGAAACGTATAAATATACCTTATATAGGTATGGCCCTACAATATATCATTTAAATATAGCATGATAGGTCCACTTTAAGTAAAGTACAAGTATCTCAATATTGTACTTAAGTGCAGTACTTGAGTAAATGTTGGCCTACTTAGTTACTCCACTCCTCTGCGGTGACGCGCACCGGTCCCTGTGTTCACCCTTGTTTTTCTTGTTCGTCATCGCTTGACAAGCAGTGCGCGCTGCTGCGTTGAGTGCGTTCCAAAAGTTAAACTAGGCAACGTTCAACTAAGTACACAGCCGGAAATGGCGACCGACACAGTGGATTTGAATATGCAAAAACGCGGCATGTGTATGCCTACTGCACTCTTTAAAGAGAGGCGTTCTGGTGCGCTGCATCCATATAGGGCGCACGGTGCGGGGGAATGAATGAACACTGTAGCATATGCAGTGGTGTTACTAAACTCATTTACTCAAGTACTTTTCAGATATTTGTACTTTACTTGAGTATTTACATTGTATGCTATTTTTTCTACCCCACTACAATTCAGAGGTAAATGGTGTACTTTTACTCCACTACATGTATTTAATACCTTTAGTTACAGATCTGGATGAATGATGTGAAATATAATCAAGTGTTAAATCAAACTTTAGTTCCACCTGGAGTCAATTCACAAGCTACCCTGCAGTATACAAAGTCATTACAACTAGCTGCAACTTTACCAGCTTTGAGAACACTTTCATGATCAATCATTATAAAACATATCATATATATTATTCTGAAATGGACCAATCTGCACAATGACTACTTTTGGTACTTTAACTATATGGTGTTAATACTTTTATACTTTTACTTAAAGGTGTCCTATAATGCAAAATGCACTTTTTGATGTCTTTTATACATAAATATGTGTCCCCGGTGTGTCAGGAGACTCACAAAGTGTCAGAAAATAAAACCCTCTCTCTTTTCCTCCGTACCCAAATCTCTAAAAACTGAGGTACAACGGAGCTGATTCAGATTTGCGTCCGATATGACGTAATATCTGAAATGTGGGCTGGCTTTACGCCCACGGCCCTATCAGAAACGTTGCTATCAGAAACAATGCACAACGTGTTTTGGACGTAATATGGTCTGTGTTTACATTAGCAAGCATTGCTAACACTCAGAGCTAACCTGTACTGGAGAGAGTAGCCTACTACCTTGTGGTAAACCTGCGAGAGAGAGAAAGCATTTGAGCTCCATACTGTTTCAGAAATAATCCTTGATGTGGTTTTGAACATGATATGGCGTTTCATCCCGGCATCATTTAGCTGAGAATCTCTCGGTAGAATTCTGAGCAGGCATTAGCCACCACACCTCTCTTTCTTCTTTTTTCTTTTTTAAAGCTAAGGACCCAAAATCAGCACTTGTCTAACCGGGCTGAAATAGAGGGGTATGAGGGATGTCTAAAATGCATGATCTGTTTGGTATTTTGAGCTAAACACATCATAGACATGTTTTTTATATTTTTGTTATATATCTGCGACCCATAATATATGCCTAAAAATAGCATGATAGGAAACCTTTAAGTAACATTTTGAATGCAGGACATTTACTTGTAACAGAGTATAACTGAGCATTTTGGTTCCCCTGCATCATTTTAAAGCTTGGCTGGATGAAATGATATTTGATACTCTTGGTACCTGTCATTGTGAATAGGTTTGTAAATTGTACCCCTGTAAATGATGTTGTATGACGTCCTATTTTGTTTTCTGTTGTATTTATGTTTACATGTGTAACCAATGTGCTGCAGAGGCCTGTACTACGAAGCCGGATTTTCGCTTAGCCGGCTGACTTCAGGGAAAACTCGGGCTTTCCGGTCCTACGACGCTGGTTCTCTTTTTAGCGGGCTAGATCTCCATGGTAACTTATGCTGAGCGGCTAACCTCCTCGGGAGGAGGTTAGGTTGCAGGCTAAGAGATCAACTCAGTGAAAGCACCGCCTGCTGACCAATCAGAGCTCCGTGTGCGGAGTTTAAAGCTATCAAGTCATATTACAGGATAGAGGAAATACAGAAAAACTGCCGTTGCAGGAAAGACGGCCGGCAAAAATCAACTCCAGTGGCGAGCCGTGAGCTTTATACCTAGGCCCTCTGATCCCCACCCCACCCTCGAAAAAAGAAAAAAAAATAGTTATTACGTCACAGCGTATACTTCAGCGGAATATCAAAACAACGGCCCAGGGTGCAAAACGCATCAATGACAGCGACCCTCTACCACACAAAACAACACCTGTGAACCCAATTTGTGTTCTTTGACATTGAAAATGATATTGCATTGTGTTTCTTACTTTCGTTGCCGTTGTATGTCTTAAGTGTAATTTGGCATGCTTTTATTTTGAAGGCGAGTTCACGCTGTTGACAGGAAGTTGTTGTTGCTATGGAAACAAGAAAAGTTTCACAGCGGGCGGAACTTGTCATAATGTCCGCGATAATAAAACCCACCCATTTAGAGGGAAGATATGATTGGTCAATTGTACTGTCATTTGACATTACTCTCTCGTTCAGTTACTATAGCGGGCCCTCTGTGAATCGCAGAGAGGGCCAGACAGCTTCTTTCATGTAACCCCTACATTCAAACAGAGAATGAACAGGCAGATTCGAAGGATTTATTTCTTTGGAAATGTTATTTTAAATACAATTAAATCAAGTTTTTTTTCGGTAAAACTAATGAAAAAGATAACAAAAATAATATTAAAAAAATATATATTTAAAAAAAATATTATTTTTTTTAATGTTTTTAAATATTATTTTTTGGAATATCTTAGGCCCTCACAGAGGGCCCTGACGGCTCGCCACTGCAACTGACTGTGTGAACGTGAAAATGTATAGAATATCCCCTCTCATCTTCAGAGCAATCTGACTATTATAACATTAGCATTAAGAAAGCTTACTTAAATATCTGCCACAACATAAGTAACCGGATCAAAGTAACATTACGTACAGTCCGCGGCACTGTGAGTGCAGACGTCGATGTGTCCCATTATCATTCATATCATATCACATCATAATGTATCATATATTTCCTTATTTGAGTCAGCTTCTTGAGCCGTATCTGGCCGTGCAACACTCACAGTGTCACAT